TAAATCACTATAAAAAGAGATATCGAAAACTTATCTCATCACACAAGAAAAACACAACAGTCTAATATCGAACTTAGAAAAAATTATTAAGAATATGTCTTCAATTGTTTGCCTCATTATTCTGCATTTCATCATCACTATCAGTCTTGTAGTGAATGGTCAATATGTACGATTTAATAAAGGAATGTTGGCTTGCTCCGCGACAGGAAATCCTCCAGGCCCGGGACTCCTTGGAGTACCTGTCGGTATTTCTTCTGATGGGGGTAACACAAACCTTATAACAATGGTTACGAGTCGTGGAGGCAACGTTGATGCTACATTTAATACTTCACAGCCAGATATACTATCGCTTATGTCAAACATATTATCTAATTCTTCAGTCATTGCAATGGTTAAACTCCCAATTCCTAATGTTACTGCTTGTCCTCTTCTTCCTATCTCAGGAACCCTTCAAGCTCCCATATACATATCTACCCTTAGCGGCGTCAATTATGGTGGACTTATGATGCTAAATGTTGGTAGATTTTTTTATAAAATATAATATAATAGGCTCATGTCATTTCTATTTTAATATAATATAATGCATAACTCTTTGAGCTTGTCGATCACCTATCTTGCAATCAAATTTATGAAATAATCGATATATTTATATGCAAACTTATGATGTTTGATTTATTCAACAATTTTGATATCTGGTGTGAGCACAATTGCGAAAGAGGGAGCCCTCACGGTCCACGTTATTGGTGCAGAAGGAGACCTCAAAGGCAGAACAACCGTGGAGTCAATGCAATCGTGTGGGCGATATCGCACAGTGTTGGCACGATCTAAAATATCAGGATACTCAGTACTATAGTTTGAAGAAAGATTTAGCAAACAAAATTTCAATCGATTTTAAAGTCTTAAATATACAAATAGACTGAAATATACAAATGCATGACCCATTTGTATACCGAAATGTACAAATGTAGGACCCATTTGTATACCGAAATATACAAATGCAAGGCCCATTTGTATACCGAAATATACAAATGCAAGGCCCATTTGTATACCGAAATATACAAATGCAAGGCCCATTTGTATACCGAAATATACAAATGCAAGGCCCATTTGTATACCGAAATATACAAATGCAAGGCCCATTTGTATACCGAAATATACAAATGCAAGGCCCATTTGTATACCGAAATATACAAATGCAAGGCCCATTTGTATACCGAAATATACAAATAGACCAAAATATACCAAAATATCTTGCAAGAAAATCAATTTTGTCATCAATAGGATCAACTAGTGCTGGTACTTATGCTTAACAAATATATTATTTCTAAATTTAAAGCTAAGTGTCAACACTAGATGGACACAAATCGATCCTGCAAGAAAATCAATTTTGTCATCAATAGGATCAAATAGTGTTGGTACTTATGCTTAACAAATATATTATTTCTAAATTTAAAGCTAAGTGTCAACACTAGATGGACACAAATCAATCTTCCAAGAAAATCAAATTTGTCATCAATAGGATCAAATAGTGTTGGTACTTATGCTTAACAACCACATTATTCCTAAATTAAAGCCAAGTGTCAACATTAGATGGACACAAATCAATCTTCCAAGAAAATCAATTTTGTCATCAATAGGATCAACTAGTGTTGGTACTCATGCTTAACAAATATATTATTTCTAAATTTAAAGCTAAGTGTCAACACTAGATGGACACAAATCGATCTTGCAAGAAAATCAATTTTGTCATCAATAGGATCAACTAGTGTTGGTACTCATGGCAGAAAAATCATTTTTGTCATCAATAGGATCAACTAGTGTTGGTACTTATGCTTAACAAACACTCGATGAACACAAACAAATTATCACAAAATTTAAACGAAGTATCAATACTAGATGGACACAAACACATTATAAAAAGAAATTGTACTTGAACATTAGAAATTTAGAAACACCAAACCTTATCTCCTACTTTGATGAAAGGAGCTTGTATCAACTTTATTTTATGTTGAGCTTCCTCATATATAGAGAGAGAGTTAGAGTTTACAACATTATTACAAATCGAATGAACGAATAATAAGCAACGTAATACAATATTAAAATAAACATCTTTAACAAAAGTGAGCCTGGACACTCAATCCAAGTGACTTTTCTCATTTTCCGGGAGAGAAAAAAGGATCTTGCTAACATCAAGAAATGATTGTTTCATCATGTTATCATCCAACAACAAAAAGAGAGTTCTTTTACCGGAACAGTTAAAAGAGTATAAGAAACAGGTTTTAAATGTTGTCGAGGGTCTATCCGAAACAAGCTCTCTACCTTGTAGGGGTAAGGTCTGTGTATACACTACCCTTCCCAGACTGCACTCTTGGAATTACACCGGGTATATTGTTGTTGTTGTTGTTGTTAAAGAGTATAAGAAGCAGACTTTACAACTTAGCATTTATTTGCGAGGAAACATAATGTCTTACTAAATTCATTTTCCTGGAAGTTTGTTGATGAGGTTTTACATAATAAATGAACTATAAGCATATTTTATTTTATTTTGGATTATTCAAAGGGAACAGTTGGTATTCTCTTGGTTTTAGAGACCTCAACAAAATAATGCCGAAGAACAGACACACAGTACATAAAACTAGAAAAGTGAGGCAGACGGATTTAAAGTTACCATGGAACTTGAGATGCAACTTTTGGATCGCTAAATATTTGAACAGCTTTATGGTGTTTGTTTGTAGGAATTGGCTCTCCAGCTAGTGTGTAGGCATCACAGATAACTTGTTTCAATTTAGACAAACAATACTGCCAAACTTAAAACCAATTAGATTAAAGATTCAGTAAAACATCATGAATCGGTATTGTTTACTAATAGCAAGGTAGAAGTAGCAGTCTCAGTAGTGGTTGCAGGTGCAGATGAAGAAGACTTGGATAAAGGCACGTATGAGTAGCAGAATGGAAGATTGGCTTTTTAGATAAGGTTTCGAAAAGCAGTTTTTCCGCTTGTGCGAATCACAGTTCTTCTGCTTGTGTTACCTTTACAGTGGGTGGAGTCCCATCCAAGCATATCCTCATATCCTATTTTCAGTCTTTTAAAGCTGCTTTCGAGCCAGTGTAAGATGCATTGAGTTCCTCGCCACTTCCAGTTGCAGTGCCAATTGCTAATCACTCTCCCAAAGGATGTCCTTGGTGTTGTGTTGGCAAGAATCTCTTCGGAAAAAGAGGCGCTTTCTAGATCTAAGCGAATTTGTACGCCACTGAGTTCAATTCTAAGCTAAACCCATTCAACTGCAGTCAAAGGGTAAAATCTTCCCCTGCGTTGATAGAAAGAGCTTTATTTTCATCCAACTATTAATATCATAAGAAAGTTGTTAGCTTAGGGCAGAGGTATGCCACAAGCCTACCCGAGTTCCACAGCATTGATGTCGTTGTTTATTCGTTTTTCGGGTGACCGTTCTGGAATGTACATACATAATTTCAATTTTCTATTCAATTAAAAATTCAAATTGAAGTATGATACTTTTCTGATATCTGATAATTCTATATCGGGAACATATATAAATAATATATATCCGTCTAACAATTTATCTTGGGGGGTTTACATATACTGATAATTGTTGTTATAATTAATATTAATAATTCAAATTGAGAAGGATTTTTTGATTGAAAAAATCCATACTGAACTGATTAGTTATATATCATATATCAAGTTGTATTTTCTTATGTCATTAGGAAACCAAAATTTGGAGATTCAAATCCAAGAATCATTCATGCATTCTAAGGCAATAGTTACTGGGTCCTATTTTCAGAAAGTTGAATTTTGTATTTTGCGACTGAAAATCCACATTTTATTTTTCAATAGAAAGGTAAGAGAAAGTTTTGAACATTATGAATTTTGAGATAGACTCAATCGAAATTGAAAGGATGAATCAAATCCAATCACAATCAAAAGGGAAGAACAATTAAGGAAAACAGAACTCAAGGCGCAAGTACAATAAAAAAGCAGTTCAGTAATCCGGGAAAGGTTTTCACCGATTTTGTATTTGTAGCATTTTGGCGACATGGCCGAGTGGTAAGGCAGAGGACTGCAAATCCTTTTTTCCCCAGTTCAAATCCGGGTGTCGCCTGATCAACAAAAAAGTCGAAATATATTCTTTTGATATAACCCGCCGAATGATTCCCCAGCAGAAGGTTGATACTTGTTTGATTCTAAAGACTAAAACTATTGCATATTTAGGCTTCTTCAAGGAAATATTCGAATGCTAGAGGGGCTATCAAGACTTCGAAAGCTTTCTTACATTATACGATAAGTTAGTAAAGGCATTTCAGGATATGATACGAGTGAAGAAAATCCCTTAGTAAGTCGGGTGCCTAGAAAGGGAAAAGGAGAGTAAGCAAGGCTTTTAGCAGAAAAAGATGAAAATCGACTCTTTATCCCCTGTTCATTCTTCCAACAATTTATACGGCTTGATGAGGCGCGCTTTTCATGCAGAATCAGTCTTCTCTGGTGCTAGCTGTGGAAAGATTCCCTAGTTCCACTCCGCCCTGACAATTGTTGGAATTGGTCTCGAAGAAGCGATTGCCCGCGAAAGTCGTAGCCCTTTAATTGCTTAGGGGAATCGGCCTTCTTTAGTCAAAGCTTGTTCTATTTTTTGTTAACTGATTTATGTATCGGATTCCATTCACCCCACGGTTGGGAATTAATGATTGGCTCTATCTATAAAGATTTTGGATTTGTTTATAATGATCAAATTTGATCTGGTCTTGTTTCCACCTTTCCAGTCATTCTCGATACTATTTTCTTTTGATTTTCCGTTATTTAAATCGTCTGTCTCCGTCACTTGTAGTTATTTATCATTCAATGAATGACTGATAAAGGATCCATTAATATTAATCTAATCCAATTAGAATGCTTGGTACTGAGTACTTGGGTTCTCCCAATAACTAAAAAGTGTAGCATGCCTGAATCTAACTGGGGTTCGCGTTGGTGGAGGAACTGGATCGGAACAACTCACCAAGATGTTGTTACCACCACAGAAAGGGTCTTTGAATATTGCCTGAGGACTGAGGTTAAATGATCAAGGTTAGCTTTAGAAAGGGGAAAAATGAAAGGAAGAATTTTTTTTAAAATAAAATAAGGAATAAAAGAATGAAAGGAAAATTCTTCGAAAAGAAAAAAAAAATCAGTTGTTGATCTTACTATAGAATGACTTCACTGTCTTCTCCTGGTGCTTGTCCAGCACTTGATCCATCGTAGTTCCACTTTGGGAGCTCAGAAGCATCCTTGACTGGTTTTGAAATAGTCTGAAAATTCAAAAGGAAGCAATCAAGAGAAAATACATGAGATAATCCAAATTCAGTTTCCTAAACTTTTGTTGATTAATTAGAGAAGCAGCATTATGTACCCTTGATTTACTGGGCATGTCAATTCCCGGAATTTGCTGCTACGGCTGGCCGGAGAAGAAAGGAGGCAGAGGTAGGCGGATGTTGTCCGTTTGGAGCTGCATCATTTTCCCGGCGTTGCTTGCTGCTGAACAGAGTTGTTGTTTCGCCGAAATGAGAGAAGAGAGGAGGCACCGGAGCTGTTGTTCTCGCCGTACACTGCTGCTGGTGGCTGATTCTTCGCCGGAGAAAGGAGGGGAAACGAGAAAGAAGCTCGTCGGTCAGCGCTGGTCCTTGCGTTGCTGTTGTTTCTTGCTTGCGTTGGCCGAATCGACTGGCTTATCATTCGCCGCTCGCCGGCGTTCTCTAGTGGCTGCGGGAGTTCGCATCACTGGGCGCTGCTGCTGCTCGCCTTCGTCCTCATCGCTGCTGGCCGTAGCTATTGGAGACGAGAGAGGCCTCGCTACGGCTGCTCTTCTTTGAGAGGAGGAAAAGAATGAACATTTTTTAAGGGTTTGGGTCTTTTAGATTGAAATAGGAAAGTGGGGAAGTTTCAATCTGACCATTGATTAGATGAAGATATGACTAGGATTTGATCTCGAATTTTGATAGATGGTTGAGATTAAATGGAAA